TCCAAATGCCAGGCACTTGTACAGTGCTAAAAGTAATGACAAAGTTGTGCAGCATGGACAGGCAGGTATAAAGCAGCCGAGATCTAGCTTTTCCCTCTGCCCCACTTGTATTGGTTTGGCTGTTCAGACTTTGTCCTAAAAAAATAAAAAGCAGAAAAACTGAATGTTGCACTTTGTCCTGCCCATACAGTGGGGAAGACACTAAACACGCCAGAATTAAAACCACTGGTTTAATCCTGCTCTTTTGTGCTCACAGCAATACTTTACTTTTAACACTGCTTGATTCTCAAGTGCTTGAGAAATGACCTTTAAGGACAGGGGTTTTTTTGGTATCACAACAACCATTTAGTCAGGTCTTTGAGGGTGCAGTGAAAGTTGCTTATAGTTTTGCTTAATGTCTAATGGTGGGGACAAGGGAAGCTGGGAAGCTAATCATAGCCTGGCGAGGTGCCTGGTCTAGCTGGAGAGGGACTGGCATTTGCACATTTCTGTCTGATAGCTCTGCACGATTACCCTGTTTTCACAGCAGGTTGTGATTTACCCCCAAAGCATGCTGCAAACGTGAAGACACATCACTGACACAAGCTGATCCCACTTTCTTCTCCACAGCCTCAAAACAAGCCCGACTGTTACCGGTTCATTGCAGTCACCCACAGCTGTAAGCAACAACCTACGATTGCATTATGCAATCATTCTGAGAGCACACACCTCAGAGTAACCTCTGGGGGTCATTCAGTTCAGGCTCATGAGTAACAGGGGGAAGCGGTTAGTTTGCAGATCATCACAAGGGGCACAGCCCAACTGCAAAGGGGGAGGAACAGACATGAGATGCATGAGCACAAAGAGGAAGAACAGGGGGAAAGTCTTAACATCCCTCACAGATCAGAGCAACGACGGTTTTGGGCCCTTCTTTCACCTCCCCTCCGTTTGCTCGATGGTGACTGCAAGAGAATCACTCTTCACCTCTTTTAACTAGGTAATTCTCAAGAGAAGACACTGTAAATGCATGTGTGTATGCTCATATATGTACATATAAATATATAATAATATAACAACTAAATAATATAAATACTTATTATATGTACATAAAACCAGAAGTGCCTGGAGCTAGAGCCTACGTTTAGAATAACATTTCTAGGTATTGGCCCTTCCCCAGGGCACATCAAACAGATCACAGGCTGGGGAGACAATAGGCAGCAGCTACACCTGGCCCCTGGATCAGATAGCATGACCTGGAACCACGCCAGCCAGCCCAGGAATTAAATCACTCAGTGGTCTGAAACAGCTCAGAAGCAATCCTGCCACACCGAAAATGAGAATAAGCCCAGACAAAACAAGTTGCCTCAAAATGATCAGCAACTGCAGGTGGCATGTTCTGCAGGTCAAAATGGGCAAAAGCCATCTCAAAAGGGGCAGAATGGTAGAAGATTTTTACCATTCCTGTCTTGATTTTGTATCATAAGGCACCAAGTTACATGCCCTGTACTCCTAAGAGCTTTTCATTTTTTTTCTGTGCTGTAATAATGGGCAGAAAAGTGAACAGGGATTCTAGGGAAAGAAGCATAGTTCAATCCCACTTGCACAAAGCGAAATAAAACACTTCAAAAGAGGGGTACCACACCTTCACAGTGGTATTTTATCATCCCAAAACAGGTTTGTTTCTTGAAAGATGAAGATTTAAGTTCTCTTTTTGATTATCGCTACGTGCTGATTTTGTTTTACCAGGTTTACACAGGCTAGATTTCAGGAAGAGAAAAATCTTTCTAAGAGTAAGAACTGGAGCATAGCGAACTAGGTTGCTTGAGTTGGTTGGGCAACAAAGGCTTTGAAAAGCAAGTTGGTCTACCACTGATCAGGTCTGAGGTGGGTTTAGTGAAGCCCGTTAAGGCATCAAGATGAATTAGCAAGCCTCTGGAGCGTTTTTTTCAGCTTGGGTATTTTACGATCACACAGCCCACCGTAGTGACTGGGTCCTTCCTAGAAAGGGCTGCAGACATGAACATTTCATGCTCATGGGGACTAGCGGCACTGCTGCAGCTCCAGGCACGGCACTGCCTGCACAAGTTTGAACAAGATGCTGAGAGCCAACGATGGCGCCTTTCAAATCAGCTCTGGGCAGCACGGTGGGAGCTCAGGCCGCCGAGAAGGCCCGAGACTGCTTAAAGCCTGGTCTGCAACTCTGTTGCCTGCTGTGCCGAGAGCGGAGCTGAGGGAAGGGGAGCGACACCGGGAAGGTGGCGAGAACCAATTAGGAGGCCACGATTGAAGCCGGCAGGACAGCACACGGCTCTGTGGCACCTTCCACGCGTGCCAAAGCCCCAAACACCCGCTCTGGCTGCTGCCCACCGCAGGCCCCTCATTCCCCGCCCCAGCCTCCTCATCCCCCGCCGCCTGTTTGGGGGGGGTGAGGGGGACGGGACCCCCGGGGAAGCGCCGCTTACGATCATCTTCTTGTAGAGCCCATAGTGCAGGACCAGGCTGTGGGTCAGCGCCAGGCGATGCGGCTTCATGGGGTGCCCCGCTCCTGGGGGGGAAACGACACGGGGAGTCACCACGGGGGGAAGATCAACCGCCCGGCCCCCCCACCCCACCCCCCCACACCCGGGACCGTGACGGGACCCCCCAGGCTACCTCCCACCCTGGCCCCGGGACGGCGTGAGGGCCCCGGCCAGACCATACCACACCCCCGCCCGGCCCCTCCGGTTCTCCCCGGGCCGCACCGTAGTGGAAGTTGCCGACGTCCGGGTCGTAGAAATAGGCCACGGTCTTCGCCATGGCGGAGAGGCCGGGACCCGCCGCCGCGCGCTCCCGCTCACGTCATCACGCCGCGACGGCGTCCGGCGAGCCCCGCGCCGGCCCGCGCCCCGCGCACAGCGGTCGGGGGGCGGGGCTGGCGGCGAGGGGCGGGGCGATCATCGCTGCGGCGTCTCCGCGGTCCTACCGCCGACCCCAGTCCCCGCCAGCTGCCCCCAGTTGCTCCCCGCTTAGCCCAGTAGCCCACTGGATTCTAGCTGTAGCCCTACAGCTGCTCACCACTTACCCCCACCTGCCTCCCAGCCACCGCCTGATACCCACAGTGTCCTCGAGTTGCACCCCGGTCTCACCTCGTTGCCCACTATCTACCCCCAGCCGCCCCTGATCAATCCCAGCTGCCCTCACTTATTCCCGGTTGCTCCCAGTTGTTTTATGGATTCTCTCCCATAACCCTGCTCCCCAATCACCCTCAGCTGCCCCCAGTCACCCCTCACTGACTCTCACTTACACCCAGGTACTCACACACACGCACATCCTAGCTGCCCGCAGTTACTCCCAGCTGATTCCAGTTGCCCACTGGATCCTCTTCTGCAGTCCTACCAGCTGCCCCTCAGTCACCCCCAGCTATGCCCAGGTATCCCCAGCTGCTCACCAGTTACCCCCACTTGGCTCCCAGTCACCCCCAGCTGATCCCAGATGCTCTCAGTTGCCCACCAGATTCTCTCCAATAACCCTACATCTGCTCCCCAGGCATCCCTTGCTTACTCTGAGCTGCCCCTAGTTACTCCCAGTTGCTCACTGGATTCTCTCCTGTAACTTAACTCTACAGCTGCTCCCCAGTTACCCCCACCACTTGGCCCCCAATCACCTCCAGCCTTCCCCAGTCACCTCCAGCTGCTGCAGCCCACCCACTGAGGGCACAGGGGATGGGGCAGTGGGGCTCCTGTGGGGCACCCACACTTTGCTGGGACTGCTCCCGGTCCCAGGAGCAGCCCCCCGTTCTGTGAGGGACTGGACCGGCACCGCCGGCCGTCACCCGGCCACGCAGCCCTCCCAGGTCCCAGCCCGCCAGGGTACAGGTCCTCCCGAGCACCGACAGCCTTCGGAAATCACCCGCCGGGGCTGGCAGGGAGCGGGGACAGGGAGGCACTGCCGGGCAAGTGGAGGACAAAAGCCAGGCGGAAAAACACTGTGTACAAAAAAGCAGCCAGGTAGAACGGGGGAAAAACGCTCAACCTCACCGGTAGCTGGCGAGGGACAGGGCTGGGGCTGTGCCGCGAGTGACGCCGGCTGCAAAAATCTGTTCCCTGTGGGCTGAAAAGAAGAAAGGATGAAAGGAGCGAGTAGTCTTGCCCATAGGCTCGGAAAACAAATTAGCTGAAATCAGCACTTGGGTCTCCTGCCTGATTGCTTCCTGCGGGCAGGAGGTTGGGGGTGAAGGATGCTGCGCTGGAGGCAGGCTGCCCGAACCACCTGCGGCACAACGGGGGCTCGGAGAGGAACGGGCAAAGGGCAAGGAGCCCCAAGGGGCACACCAGGAGCTGGCTAAGGATGGTCACCACGACAGATCGGCACCGGGACGGTCCCCGGCTCCTCAGCGACGGGATTTTGATGCTGGGTAATAAATGTGTAGATGGGGAAACCCCTCAGCATGTAGCAAGGGGAGCTTCACTCGAACACACCCCGGGGTGTGTGGGATGGGGCTGGCGGGGCAGCGAGGCAATGGCAGGACGGCATGGGATTTTGGGTGCTGTGCTGGCCAGGTGAGAGAAATAGCGTCAAGGTGTGATTAAATCGTGAGATTATCAAATGATGCTTCTGGCTGGCTCAGCCGCTTATTGCAGGGACACTACTCCCTCTGTGCTTCTCCTTGTGCACGTTTCCCTTGAGGACACCAGCTCCTGAGCATGGAGCAAGGAATCTCCGGGGGGACCCTGGGACCCTCTGGACGTGACCCCACGGGGCGCAGCTGTGGTTAGGGATGCTCAGAGCCACGATCCCCAGAGCTCAGCACCCACCATCTTAAATAAATAGGCTTTAAACCTGCTGAACAACAAGGGTGTAGCAGCAAATGCGTGGAGCATGCTGACGTCTCGGTGGGGGCTGCTCACTCGGCATGACGATAGCCCGGTCGTCGCTCTGCAAGGTGCTGCCACCAGATAGCGTCCGGCCGGGGCCACCGAGCCGCCTGAGCGGCACAGCCGAGCTGCCTGGCTGAGGGAAGGGGGTGAGGAGGGGGGCAAACACGTCCTTGCCTCCAGTGGGGATTGTTTTGCCAGCTGAGCTCGCTCTCTAGAAGCTGGTCGCTGCTCCGGGCATCTTCAGCAGGTCTTGGAGCAGTGCAAAGAAAGCATCGGAGAGGGATACTTTTAGATCCTCTTTTTGCTCAGAGATCAAAAACACGCTGTGGTTTAAAGGCCATTAGCTTGCTGGGGGTGTTTAAAAAACTTAAATAAGGGTTGAGAGTGTTTGACACAATGGGATGCAGCGTTTTTGCAGAGGTGATGGCGGTTTTTGGGCTGAGGATCGTAGTGGAGACCCCAGGAGGAGCCTGCCCACAGGATTGCTGGAGCCGGGCAATCTGGCCTGTTTAGCTGCCACGTGGACAACCAGCAGGGCCGGGGCGGACGGTCCCCCGAGTGGGCGCGTTCGCATTGTTCACGGGGTGACGTCTGTCATAATGGCTGCGGAAGAGGCGCGGGAAGAGAGCGGACGAGAGGTAACGTGGCAATATGCTGGGACCAGAGCCAGCCGTGGGCCGGGGCGATGGGGGACGGTGCTGTCCCTCCACCCTCTCTTCGGTTGCTCTGTCCCCTCCCTCCCTGGCTACCTCTCAACCTGGTGGCTTAAAATTTAAGGGCTTCCAGGCAATGTTGCAAGAGGCACCGAAGCTTCCAAGGACTTCCAGGATTCACGCCTGCACTACTGGGGAGCCCTGAGTGGGTGACCTGGGGAGGAAGGGCAGGGGGGGTGGCAGTGGTGAGTGCAGTGGGCAGGCAGCAAGCAGGCAAGCAGGCAGCTGCCTGCCCCAGGGCTGTGGCCAGATTGCCATTCCATCCCAGCCTTGGCCGGTGGGGTTGCCCAGGATGGGGACAGGAGCTGGGATGGGGTCAGGAGGATACAGAGGATACAGAGCCCAGCCTCTGGACATGCCACGAGCATCCAGCCCGCAGCCGTGTTTGCACCTCACCGGCACGGTGTGGGGCTTAGTCCCAAGTGGGGACCATCCCCACTGGCCAGGATGGACATGACCAGCCTGTTTGGAAGGGAGAGCTCAGCTGTGTGCATTCCTGCCAGTCGTGCTGGCTGGTCTCAGGGCAAAGAGGAGCCGTGGTGTCATTTTTGGGTCACCTCTGTGGGATAAGGCCACTAAAGTGCCAATTGGGTCCCGCAGTGGGACAAGTACTGAGCAGCCAGGAAGGATGCTGAGGTTGAGGTGGTGGAAGCAGGATAGAGACCAAGGGCACATGGTGCCCAGCGGGGAGCATCAGGAAGAGGAACACTATCAGTTGGGATAACCCAGTTGCAGAGCCAGGAGGGAATGGCTTGATGGTAGCAGAGTCCACTCCTCATTCTGGTTCACCCCATGGAGGCCAGGATTTGTCCCCAGGGGGGCTGCTGCACCGTCCTGTGCCCCCTAGGCTGTGGAAATGCTTTGACACCAGATGCTGTGGGAAAATCTTCCCTTGAAGCGGGGAGGGCTGAACAACCTGGGCTCATTTCTCTCAGCACGGTTGAAGGCTGGAAGCGGGGGTAGAGTGCAGCAATGTGTTGGGTGGGCGGGAATGCCCGGGAGGAGAAAGAGAGTTTTATTGTGCAGGACAACGTGCGTGGGCACGAGGAAAATGGGAATAAGCTCACCATGACTGGATCCCTTCAGGACTCTGCAGAAACTCAGGCTTGCAAGGTCCCCCACTTCGAAGAAACAAGGGCAAGGAATGAAGTGCTTTTAAGGTCTTGATCAACAGGGACTCGCAGTTTGTTGATCCAGTGTCAGGAGAGGAGAGGTCTAGCAGTGCATGGCAGGAGCAGTAAGTCTTGTTGCCCGTGGCCTTTGCTTGACGTAGCTGGTCCATTTTAGGGCTGGTCTCGCTGCCTGGACAGCAGACAGATGGGTGGCACCTACGATGCGGTGACCTCCTGAAGTCACGGTGATGGAGGAGGCTCCTGCGAATTGATGCTTGGTCACTTGTGGAGGAGGACAGGACCTCTCATCATCACATAGTTGAAAGCCTGGAGGAGTTGCCTCATGGCAACACAGAGTGTGGTGGGAGAACTCCTACAAATGAATATTTATATAGATACACTAAGAGATCTATAGATAGACTATAATATTTATATAGATAGAGAATATTTATATAGATATTCAGTAGAGATGGGGTGGGAGGGATTTTAAGGGTTTCCTGTGCTTCTCAAGGTCTGAGTGGAGAACTGGTGGGTGGGCGAGGGACTGAGAGGAGGAAGTCTAATTTGCAGTAGGAAGGGAGATTTGGTTGAAAGCTCCCAGAGTGAGGGTAATGTGGTGGAGATGGAGAAAGAGGTCGTCAGACTGCCATGGCTGGAGATTTTGAACAGCTTATCCAACTCTTCTTCAGGAAGAAGGGAGAGACAATTGGCCTGGGGAAGGGCATTGGGCTTCAGGGTCTCTTGAGGCTCCTTTTCCGCTGTCTCCTCAGTGCTGTGATCGTGGTGTGGGTGTCTGCACCCCTCTGCCCCCCCGCCCACACCAGTGTGGGACCGCTTCCTGGTCTTGCTGAGACCCACTTCCACCCCTCTGCCCTCCCATCACCATGGCTCATCGCTCTAAAAATCACCGAGAGCTTCAGAAACGAGGGTGTCAGGAGAAATCGGGGCTGGCTTACATGCGGGCGAGGTTATTTGCCCCGGGGCGGGCAGCAGCTTGCCAGCGCCCGGCTTCCCTGAGCGGCACTCCTGTTTGCTCCCCACTGCAGCTGCCGGCGTTTCCCTGAGCTTCTCTCTGCACCTTCATCCGCTGAAACCGCTTCGGAGAGATTTTTTCCGGGGTCGGGACAGGCGGGTGCTCTGGCTGGCAGACAGCGGCAGGCTGCCGCGGCAGCCAGAAGCAGCTTGGCTCTTTCCCGAGGAAGTCAGGCAGCTGGGAGCCGGGGGGCCGGAGGATGCTCGCCACGGTCCCCAGCCGTGGGGATGCGGGGTTGCTAGGAGGCAGGTGAAGGTGAAGAGGAGAGCGCTGCGGAGGACCGCAGGCCCAGGTACCGCCGCGGCAGCGGGGACAGGGGACGGCCGGGGGACACTCTGCCCGCACCGGGAAGCGGAGCCGGCGAGCGGGCGGCCAAGCTCTGAGCCCCCCCAGGAAGGGAGCCGGGAAAGCCCCGGGGAGCCGGGGCGGAGGGACTGAGCTGGGTTCTGCGGGCGGACGATGCGGGAGCTGCCGGCAGGCTCGGCCCTCCGGCTGCCGCGGCTCCCTGCCTGCCCTGCCTCTGCCTTTGCCGGTGGAGGCCCTCGGCCGTGAGTAGCGAGGGATGCCGGGGGGGGGGGGGAGCGGGGCTGTGCGGCGAGGATGCTCGTTCTCCCGCAAGGACGAGCAGCGTGATGCTGCCCGCCGCAGAGCCCGGGGGAGGCCGGGGCACCGGTGCCCTTGGGAAGCCGTCTACAAGGGACGGGGAAGCACCCCAGCCCAGGGCTGGGTGGGCCCGGGGGGATGCTGCCGCCGCCACCGCTGCCCTTGGGATGCCTCTTGCTGGGAGCGTGCGGAGCGGCGGTGTCCTTGGGAGACCGCGGGGAGCCATCTCCAGCCTGCCCTCTCCTCCGTGGGGCCCCACACCACGCTGGACCTTGTGGGGCGAGAGACGAGCCCACCCAAGCAGGGAGCTGACTCTTGCCCCAGGTGGGCAGGAGGAAGAGGAGGAAAAGGAGGATGGGCACGGGGAGCCTGTCGGGAGGTGAGCGCCGGGGTCTCTGAGCTGCCTTCCCCATTTTCCTAGATCCGCATGTCAGACCAGAACAGCACCGACGATGGGGAGTCAGACCCCCAGCACAGCCTGTCTATGGTCTTCCTCCTCGTTCTTGTCTTCTTCATCATGGGGCTGGTGGGTTTCCTGATCTGCCATGTTCTGAAGAAGAAGGGTTACCGGTGCCGGACTTTCCGGGACGAGCTCGACCCAGATAACAAAGACGTGCTGGCAGAGCTCCAGGCCAGTGAGTGCTGGGGCGATGGGGGCTCGGTGGGGGCTCGGGCACTGCCTTTCATGTGGACCAATGCTCCTTAAATATGCTTCTGGGATGTGGGCTGGGGGTGGGAGGGTTACCTGTCACATGCTGCTGGGTTGGGAAAAAGGAATGGGGCAGTGAGAGCAGCACAGTGTTCCCGAGGGATCAGGAGTGTGCAGCCCAGAGAGCCCTCTGATCTGCTGGCTCCGCAGGCTGGTGAAGCCTGGTGGTGCCAGGAAGGCAGGAACCAGCATCTGGGCCTTCCCAAAGCAGCGTTATCACCAAAAGATAATTCTGATGAACAGCTAGGACCTGCCGAATCCCCGGTGCCTGAATTATAACCCATGTCCCCTACAAGGAAAGCATCCTTCAGCCAGGGCACGAGCTGGCCCTCTGGCCCTTTGGTGTTAGGAGGCTCGGCACGGGGCCAGCATGGTGTCTGCTAAAGGTCATGTCCCCTTCTAGTCCCTGTTGTGCTCATGCAGCCCAGAGGAATAGGGGTGTTTGCTGTGATCTCTGCCCCACACTGGAAGGGGTCATTTATGGATTTTTCCATCCCTTCAGGCCACCGTAACAGGCTCTCAGGTAGTAGGATTGGGAACTTAGTGCAGTGTCGAGCCGGGGTGCAAGCCAGAGCTCAGTCCAAGAAAGCTCTGTTGTTTGGTGGTTTCATGGTGCTCTGCTGAAATGGAGAAGACGCAATCCTCCAGCTGTTTCCTTACCTGAAAATGGCCAAACGGTGCTGTGAAACTCCTCCGGCTCCTCTGTGCCACCATCAGCAATTGGGAGGGTCAACACCTCCCGCTGCCACTTCTCGTGCATGGGAGTGAAAAGCGGCTCCCCCAGCTCCCCTGCGGATGCAGCGGGAGCTTCCAGGTGGCCTCGGATATGCTCCTCTGGCTTCAACGACTTGGCTGCACATGACATGGAGACAGTGTCTGAACCTTCCAGGATTGGCTTTGCCTGCTGGAGTTGCCACAGCCCAGGGAAACATCTCTGTGGGCTTTAAGGAGTGCAGCGGCAGCCCCTGACCATGTTCTTTGAGGCAGCTGCTTACCAGACCACAACTCTGACCTGCTCACAGGACCATATAACACTGCAGAATGGGCTGAAGGTCCAGCCAGCCGAGCCTCCTGCCTCCAACAGTGGCCAGAAGCAGGTTGCGATGAGTGCTGGGGATAAATACCACAATGGAGCAGACACCGAGCCAAGTTTCCCCAGCATGCTCTTTTAAGCTTCTAACAGAGAGTAGCTCCGGGGCTTTCTCCGTTAAAGATGGTTTCTCTGTATTTAACAGGCCCCAGTGGGTTTCTTTTCTGTGAACTTGTCCCATTTACCCTTGGAGAATTTTAGCAACCGCAGCATTCTGCAGCCAGGGGCGCCAGGAACTGGACTGTCCCCACGAGGAGCCTCTTCTTTCAACTTGTTTCAAACCTGCTTCCCACTCGCTTCTCGTGATGCTCCCCAGTTCTGAAGCAGCAACACAACCCCTGTCTCCCTGCACACGACTGCTGTTTCAGCCATTTCTTTTCCAGGGTGAGGGATCTGGTGTTCCCCAGGAGCTTTCCGGAATGACAGGGGACATGAGGCTTATCCAACCTCTCTGCCAAGAGGTTCTCTCTCCCTCCTCCTGGGGAGGAACTGGTGAGGTGAGTATCTGAATCCCATCCCTCAGTGCCATGTTTTCTCTTTTCAGATGAAGAGGACGAGCTGAACGAGGACACCGTGGAGAAGATTGTGAGATGCATCATCCAAAATGAAGGTGAGCATTTCCTAGGGCTGGCCTGGAGACGTGCTGACCACTTTGCCTGATGCATTCCTTTTTCCCTCTCTCTTCAGCAAATGCAGAGGCCCTCAAGGAGATGCTGGGGGACAATGAAGGGGACATCCCAGTGGCAGTGCCCAGGTGAGGGAAGCCTATAGCAGTTTGTGACTCCTGCAGAGCAAGGGAGAAGCAGCCTTTGGGTATCACCTTAGCCTGGAGACTTTGCAGCCAGCCCTTTTCCAGCTTCTTATAAAGCATCTTCCCAACAAGTAGTTCTGTTCCCCTGAGGGTTGCGATGGGTGCTTCACCCCACTGTCAGGGGGAATAGCTCTTCCTCATTCCTGTCCTCACCGGAGGTCCCCTCCAGTGTAGTTGCTTCTCAGGTCTTGCTGCAGTGAGGCTGCACCAAGCTTGAGAAGTCTCCTTCAGATAACACGACCTGTCCTGTCCTTCTATCGCAGCCTCTGTCCCCACCGCAACAGCCAGGACGGGGGCCCCCCACATCACCACACGGTGCATCTGGGCTCCACGCAGGCCCCCTGCATCCACTGCAGCAAGAGGAAGAGGCACCCACTGCATCGACAAGGACGGTCCAAGGATGGCAAAGGCAGGATGCATCCTGGAGAGACCACTGTCTTCTCAGTGGGCAGGTACTTCCATGACCCTTGCCAGACACGGCCCATCTGCTCTGATGGAGCAGGCAAGCTTCGCGGGGAGTCTTCTCAGTTCCCCTGTTCCTTTTCCCTTCCTCACTTGCCCCACGCCAGGGTACCCTCTTGCTCTTCCCCATTTAGATGCTCCAGTTGTAGCTCTGCAGCTGGGAGTCCTGAGAACCCAGGGGCCTCTTGCACCTGGAAATGCCTGCGGTATGTGGCAGGCCATGATGCACCAGTGGCTTCCCTCCTTCTCCGGGAAGGTGACTCAAGCCTGGGTTGTACTGCTGACTCAGAGCTGGGCAGAGCCCCAAATCCACGTCCTCTCAAAGCCCAGCTATGTGCAAGCAGGGCTCTTGCTGCCCAACAGGGGCAGTGACCCCAGGTTTTAGGGATCTCATTAGGAGGGGCAGGAGGTGACAGCAGGTTCCAGGTATAAGTTATCAGCCACAAGCGTCAGATGAAAGAGTGGCTATGCTCTTCTGGGTCGTTGTCTCCAACGATGACTGTAATTAGATGTCATGGCAGGAATATAAGAATAGAGGAGTGTACCTGATACTTCCCACAAATACTTTTCCAGTCCCTGCCTGGTCTCACCTCAAGGGACTTCCTGAGCTGCCTGTGGTCTCTGTGTAGTCAGTAATCTTTAGTACAATCTGCAGTCTGCCCAGGTTGCTCCATTCCCCGGCAGAAAGGTTTAGCATGCACAAGACCTTTAACAAAGTCTTCCAGGGCTCGGGTCCCTCCTGCAGTGGTGACTGGGGCAGGGTGACAAGCAGCTGCCGGTCCCTGGATGGCCACCCTGGTGAGACACAAAGCTCTGCTGTGCTCAGATCCTGCGGCAGATCTTTCTTCATTCAGGGCCTTAAGCCTTGATGAAGCTGCATGTTGTAGTCCAGAGAGACAGTCCTGGTGATGTTGAGCCAGAGTGGGCACTGGGGGGGTGTGGATTTTTCCACCATCACAGCTAGGAGTCTCAGCTGGGAGGTGAACTGGGGGGATTTGTGGGGAGCTGCTGAAGGGAACAGACACACCAGACCTCCCCTTGCTGAAGCCCAGCTAAGATCACACCTTCTGGAGACTGACAGCTTCTGGCTTCCTCCTCGCCCTTTGCTGTCACCTGTCCTTGGTGGTGGTTTTGGTAAGCCAGATCTATGCACAGTTGTATATTCACAGCTATCTCATTCCCTGGCTGGTGCCCAGCTCCATCCACTCCTCTGTGTCCTTTGTCCACGCTCTCCTCAGACTTCTCTCACTCACCTCTGAGTGTCATCTTCTGATGGTCTTCTCTCCTAAAGGCACCTTCCCTTGAATCTTGGTTTTCTCTCTTTATCCTTATTAATATCCTGTGTCACAAGAGCCTCCTCCACAGGACAGTCATTACATTTCTCCAAGGCTGTGTTTTAAAAATTTCCACTTCCTGAATCTCCTTGGTATAAGGTCCAACTGCTAAGGGGCCTACGTGCCCATGAGGTACAAAACTACCTCCAAATTCTTGTTCTCATTTCCAAGCTGGCCCCTTTTCTCTTTCAGATCCTGGATGCCTTTTCTAGGACTGCCCTTATTTGCTACAAATGTCTATTGCACACCAAGTACTTTGACTCATGATTGATCCTACATACAGAAGCTCCTTTAATTCACCTCTTCTGTTGCAATCCTCAGGTCTTGTTTCTCTCTTTTTTTTTTTTGCTATTTGTCTTGGCAAGAGTGGTTGAGAGTCCAGTCCCCTTCCCTCTTACCTACAGCTCATTGACTGAGTCTGGTCCCTGTCTAGTAGGCAATAGGATCATCGCTTAAAGGAGTGAGATTAGTGGAGGTCCACAAAGATCATCAGGAACTGGAACATATGAGGAGCTGTTGAGGGAACGGGGTTTGTTTAGCCTGCAGAAGTATAAGGGGGAGATCTAATTGCTCTCTAAAACTACTCAAATGGGTGGGAAGAGTTTAAATTAAGCTGGAGCTAGAGTCTTCTCACAGATGCACAGGGAAAGGCAAGAGGCAGAGGCCACAAGCTGCAACAGGAGAAATCCAGGGAAGAGACATAAGGAAAAACTATTTCATCCTGAGAATGGCACGGCCCTGGGACAGGGCCCAGAGGAGTGGAGGGATCTCCATCCTTGGAGATTTCCAAATCCTGACTGGACAGGGCCCTGGGCAACCTGATTGGGGGTGGGAGGTGGCCCAGTTTCAAGCAGAGGGTTGGACCGGAGACCTCCTGGGTGCTTTTTGCACCTCGATTAATCTATACTTCCAAGGTAATCAGGGCTATATGATCTGTACTGTTATATTGTTGAATGATTTACCATTTATCTTAGGGCTTTCCCTAAACCAGTTGTTGTCAGTGGCAGACCCTGACCACCAAAGCATCTGTGTCTGACCCTCTGTCCCTAGCCTGATCAGCTGCAGCACATCACGTCCTACTGAATCAAATGCCTCAGCGATGCTGACTAGGCAGGCAGCCAACGCTCTCCTTCCTTTCCCCTCACCATCCAGAGGTTGGTTACATTACCTCTTGTGCCCCCTCCAGTCCGAACCCTGCCTGCTCTTTGAATCGGTTCCCAGCTCTTCCAGGCTGACATTGCTCAATGTCATTATGGAGAAACAATCCTGCCACTCGTGCCTCCTCCCCATCCCTCTTTGGGACTGGGACGTTGTTTGGTCTTCCCAAATGGCAGCACTGGTGCCTTGTCTCCAAATATCTGGATAGACCTGAAAGGTCACATTTGCTGCTGCTCGGCCTGACCTGAGCGGTCCTGTGGGTCCCTCATCTGGAGTTGGAGCATTTATCTTCTTGACCCTTCCAATCATGAGCAGCATTGCCGACTGCAATGTTGAGGGGTCTGTACTGTCCACAGACTGTTGCCAGGTCCTCAGCCTGATCGTGGTCTCCTTCATCTCTGGCATCTCATCTGGCATCTATTCTTATCTCTCAGACCTTTCTTCTCAGCTTCTTCCTTCAGAATGGCTGTACTGCCATGTGCTTTACCTTCGGGTCTTGTTCTTCTTTCAACCCCACCCAGCGGTGCTTGAACTTTGCTGCTGAAATTATATTTTGCCCTGGTGCTGACTCGCAGCTGAACCTCAGCAGAGCCAGGGCCACCTGCAGCTTCTCCGCATGTGACTCAAGTGCAGGGAGAGTGGCTGCTGAGTGAGTCGTGGCTGCACGAGGTCTCTGTGGTGGGATCGATGTTCTTTGGCTGGTGGACTCCAGCTCACCGTGGAAGCGATGTCCCGTCTGCTGGTCCAGCAGTGGCTTGCTCTGCTTATGAAGAGGAGTCACAGCATTACTCACAACCAGCTCACTTGCAATACAGACTTTTAGGCCTTGCCTATGCGCTACCCCTCATAAATCCCAAAGTTATGGTAGGTCCCTAACTTCTTTCCTCTCTGCATGTGCAATATTGCATCACCTCTGATTATAAACGCATCCTTTGTGGGTGTCAGACCAACTTCTGCAGCTGTTCTCCTGCCTGCCCTGGAGCTCTGAGCTGTTACCTGGGACGCAGTGGAACCCTGGTGAACCACCCAGGTACCATTCATCACTCTAGGGGATGGCACACAATGTGCTGTGGTAGATTTTAGCCAAACAACTCCTCTAGGCTTTTGATCCCTGTACCTAAATATAGCTCACTCTGCTGAAAACTTGTCCCTGACACTCAGGGTGTACTGCTTGCCAAAAACTTTGGCTCTCGTTCCCCTGATGGCAGTCAGTTGCTGAGTGGAACATCCATGCTGCTCTGCATGGCCATCCCTTCCTCACCAGGCTGAGCTTGTTTTCATTTCACCTTCGGAATCATTACCCGAGTTTCTATATAAGCCCCTTTTGTCCAGGTTGCATCTCGGAGCATTTCCAAGAGCTGTGACCCATCTTGCTGCAGGGAGGACAGGATGGCAGGGTCTGCACCAGCCAACATATAGACTGACATTTTCATCCTTATTTTTCTAGTTGTTTTGCCAAAAATGAAGGAAAAAATGAGGTGAAGTCGGAAGGGGCATGGCTAGTGTGGGGGTCAGTGGTGTTGAATGGGTCTGAAGGGCTGGAGATCAGCACCAGTCCGTCGCAAAGAGAGGACATCCAAGGCTGGAGTTGCAGGCAAGGTGGAAAAAGAGCCGGGAGAGAGGAGGGAAGGGATTTTGATCCGTCCTGCCCCCGTTCCAGGTTTCGTGTCACACACATCGGGAAGAAACCCACTTTCCACGAGCAGCAGGATGGTCCCCTGCCTGACAGTGGCCAGGAGCCGAGCACAGAGGAGCTGGAGCACAGCAGCGACCGGCTCCAGCGGGAGCGAGCTCGCAATGGGACTGTCCCCGCGGGTGGCCGGCAGAACGGAGCCGTCCAGAAGGGTGCCCAGAGCAGCAAGGGCGGGGAGCAGAGCCGCTCCACCACTCCAGCCCTGAACACACCAGCCAGCTCCAGCACTCGTGACAGCAGACGGGTGGGCAAGGGGTCTGGCGTGGCGGGCTCGCTGCAGGATGCTGGCACCGCTCCTGGGAGCGCGAGCCGCCAGCGGAAGCTCCTGAGCCATCGGGTGCTGGGAGGGTCGAGTCCCAGCATCCCGGGAGAGCTGGTGCAGGAAGGAGCCAGCATCTGCCTGGAGGAAACCGGACTGGGATCAGCAGATGAAGTGTCGGATATTCATGGGAGCCTGAGCCTGCACGAACAGGTTGAGGAGTTGGGACAAGATGACAGCAGCAGAAAACAGCCCGGAGTGGAGGACATGGGGCAGCAGGTAGGTTCCTCCTCTTCCTTGTCCCCGTGTGGTCCCCTGGGCTGGAGGGTTTGAAGGGTGGTGGCACAGCACCCCAAATCCTGCTGCTGAGAAGATCAACCAGCACAAGTGCAGTGGTGTGAGCTGTGCAGGGGGGACAGGCGAGCCGAGGCTTGCACCAGACCGACTGCAGCGTGGAACCTGCCCTGTCCTGCCCCACCCGTTTCTGCTTACCTTTTTTGACTGCATTTTCTCATCCGTTTTCTAATGTCTGGGGCATGCAGAGTCACCGTGACTGTTCCCACCCTGCTGGTATCTGCACTGTGGAGAAAAGGCAGGTCACTGGTTGACTTGCATGGGAGATGCTGCAGATCTGCTGCCAGCTGCCCCTCAGGCAAGGGACGAGTTTTCCTTTGTGGTTGGGCTCTCTGGGGACATCCATTGGGATCACTTTTTCTTGACCTGAGGGAACTCCGCTGCTTCACATAGCTTGGTCTGCCTAAAACTGTAGCTTCGCTGCAGTGCTGGGGCTCAACATGGCAGGGACAGATGACTCCAGGAGCCTTCTTGCCTTGAAGTTTAGGAAACGGTGAAGTCAACCAGTTGTTTCTTGGTTGTTCTTCCTTGCCCTGGAGGGGCTGATGCTGGATGTACTCAGAGGAGAACAGTCCACCCTGGCCAGAGCTGGGGGGCTGCCAGCACCCCAGTATCTTCCAACCTTCCCACCCAACCACCTTGTTGGAGGTGCTAGAGAGCTCCAGGGTAGCACTGGCAAGGACATCATCTGTTTGACTGTTGATGGCCCCCAATTTGCAGGATTTGCTCCCTGCCACTGCTTCTGGGCTGTTACCACTGGGCAAATGATGCTGTCAGTGGTGGCAGTAGACACCCAACACCTTCACTCACTCATGGGGTTCTGCAGATGGGGAAAGATGATTTTCATGGGAGGAGACTGGAGAAAATCACCTGGTCTGGTGTCACCCTACCAAGGTGAGGCTGGAGAACAGTGCCTAGTTACATGTAGGCTAAGGAGAAAGCAGGGACACGCTGTGTTTATTGTGTCCCTCTGCTTTCTGGTGCCCGGACTGGAAAGGTCTGGGCTCCTCCAGGCTGGAGGTTTGAGCTGTTCTATGAAGGGCAGCTCAAGGCAGTCACGCCAGACAGAGCCAATGGGCTGCAGCTCTTCTCTGGAGACCTGGAGAGGTAGCAACAGGTTCTTCCTTCTCCCGTGGCTCACTACACCTCAGGAGGTGGCGACGGCCCCTCTGATCTCCAGGGAAAGATTGGCATGGAAGGCAAGTCCAGGGATGCTGTGATTTTCTCCTCTTTGTCCTCAGACCCTGCGCCAGGCTTTGGCGCGTTGCTTCAGCATGCTCCAGGACACAGGGTCCCAGGAGAATGGTGATGGGACCTCACTGGGATGTTTGCCACCAAGTCCTGGTGCTGCTTGGACTATCCCTTGTCCCTTTAGGCCCCAGCCAAGGCCACCACGAGGGTTGGTAGCGGCTGCTCAACATGTTCTGCAGGCGATGGGGCTGTCTTGTCATCAGCTCCTGCAAGCTCAGCGGGGTTGTGCCTGTGCCTGACTGCTGGGGACATCAGAGCCCCCACCCTGTCCCCTTCTCCCTCCCAGCACTCCCACACCCTGATATCCACATCCCTCCTCCCTCCCACAGGAGCCCAGCGCCATGGTGCAGGACCGAGGAGCAACTGTGTGACGTGAGTGCTTGTCCCCAGCCCCTGGGGTGATGTCCAGGGTGGTGGTGGTGGTGGGGGGGGCAGGAAAGCCCTGGCAGTGCCCCTGCCCCCGTGAGTCACAGCCGGGTGGTGGAGAGAGGGTCAACCCCTTCTCCAGGAGGGTTGGTCCTCTTGCCTGCGTGCCCAGCCACTGCTGGCTGCCAGCCCCGGGCAGACATGGGCCAGGACAGCCTGACCTGGGCTAGCAGCAGATGCCACGGCTGCAGGGACGAGCCTCATCCTGCTCCTCTCCCTCCAGCTCCTCTCCGCTCCTGGCTGGAGCATGGATGGGAGGTGCACGGCCCCTGGCCCCCATGCCAGGCTGGGGGATCTGCCACCGGGGGGGGAACCGTGGGGCAGCCGGCCCCAGGTGGGCAGCTACACGCTTGGCATGGCCGGAGCGACGCGCCGACGTTACAGACAACTGCACTCGGCGCCAGACCTCATCCCATTGGCAATAGGTACCAGGAACCCCACCCACTGCACCCACCCTGGAGACCCCCCCCCGGGGGAGGACGCACGACGAGCCTCGGGCCTGGCAGGGGCAGGACAGTACCCGGTGCCCGCTGCCCACCTGGCCCCCGCAGCCCCCCAGCGCTGGAGGATGGATGCAGCAGAGGGGGGCTGCAGCGACGTGCAGGGATGGAGGCAGTGGCTTGAGCCCCCACCCACCCGGCACACCCAGCGCAGAGCACAGCCCCCCCCACCCCCGGGCACCCCTGTCACGCAGGGCGGTCACAGGCACAAATCCTGCACCGGCGAGGGACCCTGCAGGTCCCTGAGAAATGCTGGAGGAGAGAGGAGCTTCCAGCCCTGTCCTGGCTCAGGAAGGGCCGGAGCTCAGCCCTGGGGGGCAGGATCACACCCCGGCAGCGGACAGCACCTGTGCCCGCAGCGAGCTTTGGTGTGTGACCGCACTGTACATAGACAAGCTAAAACCATTAAAGCTGCTGAACCCCTCGGCAGAGGCAACTGGCTTTATTGGGGCACAGCCCCCACCCACCCAACTCTTGTCTGTGGGGAGATGCCCCGGGGGCAGGCAGAACCCCAGGGCTGAGCCCCTCTGGGGAACTGGGGCTGCACTGGGGGTGCATGAGTGATGCCAGGCAGAAGGGGCAGAGGCACAAGCTGGGTGAGATGGGCCCGGCCGTAGCACCAAACACGCTGATAAAGGGGCTGCCAGGATGCTCAATGCCGTAGAGGGATGCAGGACCACTCCCCAAGCAGCACTGGGCAGGATGTGGCCCCCAGAGAGACCAGCTCGGGGCACGGGGCAGTATGAGCCGCTGCTGCCAGGACAGCAGCCTGTGGTGGCTTGGTCAGGCGAAGCTTTTTGGGGAGCGGGGAGGGGGGACCCACAGGGTCAGCTGAAGTGCAGCTCAGGTTCGGGCTCAGGGGCTCTGCCAGGCGGCGGCGGGGGAGCGCGGAGCTGTGGAGAGAGGAGAGAAGAGGCAGGGCCAACAGGTCAAGGCTGCTCACCCCGCTTCAGATCCCACCAAAGCACACGGGTGGCACCATCCCCCATTACGGGAGGGCTGGGAGCAGGTTTTTTTTTTTTGGAGGGGGGGCGGGCAGGGCACAGCATCGCTGTGATGGGGCTTACCGGCCGGAGGCGGGTGGCTGCCAGGTCCGGAGAGCTCTGCCCGCTGCCTGTGCCATCCTGCCTGCAACCTGGAAGGGCTCAGCAGCTCAGCCCCGCTCTCCACATGCCTTCCCCCCCACAGTCCCTTTCCCAGCCCCCCCCCAGCACTCACCTCCCAGGGGTGTTTCAGGAGAGGGGCTGAGGGACAAGCTGGTCCCAGGCACAAGGCCGGGAGGGGAGAAGGGTGGCGGGGACGGCGATGGCAGCTCCTGTGAAGATAGCCAAGACGGGTGGGAACAGCAGGGAGGGCGTCCAGCCACCAGCAGCCCTGGCAGAAGCTGAGGGGACACGGTGACCCTCCTGCCACTGACCTGCCCAGCTGCCCCCTGGCCCCCGGTGAGCTCCTCCACCACCAAGGAAGGGAAGACGCCGATGCGGCCATCGAAGTCGCCCGTCCAGAAGCCATCATCCACCTCGCCGGGGGCGTGGGGCAGCACCCGGATGATGGCCCCCTCAGGGAAGCTCAGCTCCTCGGGGCTCTGCCCCTCGTAGTCGTACAGGGCTCGTACCAGCCAGGCTGTGAGGGAGACGTGGTGGGGGGCTCAGCATCGCCCCGGTGCTGCTGCTGCAGGGGCTCAGCATCCCCTGGGCACCAGCCCCGTGCATCTGTCCCCCTTCCCCAGAGGAGGTGACACCCCAGCACCTACCTCCGGGCTCCAGCACCAGCTCTGCAGCCATGATGCTGGAGAGCTGGCGGTGCAGGGCAGAAGGTCCTGGGGGCCCAGCCCCAGCACCCGGCTCGCCACCCAGGGACAGCAGGTACTTTTCAGGGACGTAGCCAACCTGGCCCGCTTTGTTTCGAGCCTGAAGGGGCAGAAAACACGTGAACATCCCAGTCCCCGGGGCAGGGACAGCCCTGGGGACCTCTGAAATGTGTCCCCCCCCGACTATGGGGTGGGTGGGCTCAGCCTGCTCCCACCTTCACCCACTCCTCTGCATCACCGTCCTCGATGACCTCCAGCTCCTCGCCCTGGGTGATGGACAGCTCATCCGCCTGGCAGCCCTGCAGGGGACAGGGGACAAAGTGGCAGGGAGGTTGAGGGTGCCGGCGCCAGGCAGGCAGGGCGAGGGAGGCAGCCATGGCTGTACCTGGTACCCGAAGATCACCCGGCAGGTGTAGGGGTAGGTGCGGGCAGCAGGGCCAGGCTCATTGTCCTCATCCAGCTCGTCACTGTCATAGTCATCGAACTCAGCCAGCTCCAGCCCTGCGGGCGCCTCTTCGCCTGTCCCCACTACGGCCCCCGCCAGCCAAGCATCCACATCCAGCCCTGCCGCCCGCAGCAGCGCCAGCCGTGCCTCTGCCTTCACCCGGCTGACCTGGGGGACACACACCCTGTCAACGTCTAAGGGGGACACCGATGGGGTGGGGACACAGCCCAGCAAGACCCACTAGCCCCCCCCCAGCCCCAGCGTGGCTGCCGCGGTGGCAGAGCATCCCCAGCACTGCAGCCGCAGCCACCACATCTCCCCATCCCTGCGTCCCCTACACCAGGGGTGACAGACCTCAAAGCTGCCCTGAGACCCTCCTGCCTGGGGGACCCACCTCCGCTTTTCGGATGTTTTCCCTTGCTTCTTCCATCCGCCGCTCCACAGCGGCTGCCTCTGCCTCCGGGACCTGCTGCCGCCTGGCCTCCAGCCGCTGCAGCACCTGGATGGACACCCGCAGGTTGGGGCAGGGTAGGGAAAGCCCATCCTTGAGCCCCCTCCATGCTCTGCAGGGAAGGGCAGCACCCACCTCCTCACTGTGTGCCTTGTTTTTGCGGTCCCGAGCCACCCGCGTGGCCCAGCGCCGTGCCTCCTTCTCCAGGCTGGCCCCATCGTCCCCCGGTGGCAGCAGGCACACCTTGGGGGAGGACAGGGTGGCTGAGAAGCGGCTCGCTGTGCGGGCCCATCCCCGCCGTAACGTCCCCCCCGGCCCTGCCACCTACCTCCTCCACCCCGGCGAGCTGGAAGCGCTGTTCGGGGGCCAGGGCAAAGGCGGGGTGGTCCTGCAGGAAGAGGAGGAGGTCCTGCTCCCGGCACACCTGCAGCAGGGGAGCAGTGTGGAGCTGGGGGGTTCGCCCGTCCCCTCCTGCCCCCCCCAGCTCCCAGGATGGATGCTGTTAGTGCTGTTACCCGCGCGGACGCCTCCGTGACGCCCTGGAACCAGTCCCGCGTGGCCCGGCACGTCTCCACCTCCGTCCGGCTGGCCGCCGACAAATGCTCCCGCAGCCGCTCGTAGAGGTCACCATCCAGCGCCTGGGGGGAAAACGGGTGGGAAACCAGCCCAGCACTGCCCGCAGCCTCCTGGGGAGCAGCCCTGAACCCCCAGGGCAGCCACCTCTGACCCCACACGGGGTTGACCCTCCCTGCTGCACCAGGGAGATGCTTCTTGCAGGGGGTCCGGGCAGCTCCTACCTGCATGGCAGCGGGCAGCTCCACCCGCCGGTAATGCTCCAGGTGGGCGGTGGCAGACACCAGGGCGAAGCTGTACTCGTTCTGCACCCCCACGAGCTGCTTCGAGTGCTCAGCCAGCCGCGCCAGGAACTGCCGGGACATTGGTGATGGGGTGGGGGGCCACCACCTGATGTCCCGCTGCATCCCTCTGCCTGGGTACTCTGATAGCCCCCCGCGCTGCTGACCTTGGCGCTGAGTTTTTGCAGGCTGGCCTTGGTGTGAAATATCCTCCGGTCGCTTTTCTGGAGCCTGGGGAGGATGGAGAGGGGAGGGGGGGATGTGAGACTACCCCACGGCCACAGCAGCCCCCAATCACGGCGCCTTCCGCTCACCGAGCCTCTACGTCGGCCGCCTTGTCCTTGGCCACCTCGCTGCTCCGCTGGAGGTGGGTGAACTGCTTCTTCGCCTTGTCCAGCTCCTTCACCGTCTCCAGCAGCTCCGCCTGCGCCTTCTGCAGCCGCTCGATGCCCTGTGGGGAGCGTCAGAGACACAAGCACCCCCATTGCCTGGGAAAGGGCGCACATCCTCACCCCAGTACCTTCTTGAGCATCCGCTCCTTGGAGAGGCGGGCGGTCCGGGCGGCCTCTGTGGCGAGGGTGCGGTAGCTCTCCGAGGCGGTGACACGGACCTGCCCGGCATGCGCTGTCCCCTCGATGACACCCTTCCAGACAGCGACCGCGCTCCTGCGGGCACAGGGATTTAAGACAGGGTAGGGTGCTCTCCTGCCTCTCCGCCAGCTTTCGGGGATGCCCAGCAGGACAGCCAGCGCCCCAGCCCCTACAGTCCCCTCAGAGGCGGGTACCACATCCTCGGGGACATCCCACCCAGGGCTGCATCCCCGGGACACCCACATCCTAGTTGGCGTGAGGCATCTCCCAGCTGGGAGGGCCACAGAAGGGCACAGCCAGCCCCACTCCCTCACCCCCATCTCTGTTCCAGTTCCCAGCCCACCTCGAGTCACCGATCTCGCTGCGGCCCCGCTGCCAGTCTCGCTTCATGAACTGGCTCGCCAGCCTCTGCAGTGCCTGCGGACAGACCGGTCATCACCTGCACTCCCCAACCCTACCCCAGCACCCTGCTGTCCCGCTTCGGGGCCGAAACTGGGCTCCCCCACACTGGCTGCCTGCCCCATGGGTGTCCCCAGAGCATGTGGGGCACACACCCCACAGTGGCTCAGTGTCAGCTGGGACACCATCACTCTTCCCACAGGGAAACCATCTCTTCCATGAGAAGACCAACCCCCCTCCAGCTGTGGCTTTTGGGACAGAGGACTGGCAAGGGGACACCAGCGAGGGACACTGGCTGCAGAGGGAGAGTAGAGGAGGCCCCAGCAAAGCCAAGCACAGCCAGATGGTCCCCCCCAGCCCAGGGGAAGGGGGGAAGGGAAGAGTGGGTGGCGTGGCACCTGGCTACGGGCTGGGGACAGGCGAGCGGGGAGGGCATCTCTGCTGCAGAGTGTCCCCGAGGGATGCTGCGGGGCTGTCTCACGAAGCAAACCCAGGCTCTGACATTTAAGAGCAGAGCCCTGCGATGACCCAGCAGTGCTGAGCGGTTTCCTCCCCCAGCAAGGTCCCTTCAGGCCCCCCAAAACACCTGAGGTTTGGGCCACGCTGTGCTCAGCAAGCACCCCAGTGGGTGCCTTAACATGGCTGGTTCCCCCCCCGCCTCCGGCAGGGAAAATGCTGAGCCCATCTGCCACTGCCCTCCGTGGCTGGCACGAAGGCAAGCGCCGCTTTGCTCAGATAATTCCTGACATTGCCCATGGCCTGCGTGGGGCTGTGTCCTGCTCCGGAACACCCCATGCAGGAAGGTCAGGGCTCGGTGCTCCTGCCTCCCCCGGTCATCAGTCCCAAAACCGGCAGCACCTCCTTACCTGCCCGTACTCTCTGTCGATGGCGGCCCTCTGCTTGCTGTAGGACCTGTGGGGAGAGGGCAGGCGAGGACCCACGGAGAGGGGCAGGGATGGGCCACCCCTGCCATCACCCCCCCCCCGGCCACCACCCTGCAACCGGGCTGTCCCCATCCGGCCAACCTCCGCGGGAGATGGAGCCCACGACCTCGACGCGGCAGGCTCAAGGTGAGCCGTGTCTGGCAGGCTGGCCGCCGCTCCACACGTGGCATGAGCTGGCCGGTCTCAACTCAGAGACACACACCCCACACCCCCCCCTCCCACGCATGGGGGGGGCCCTACCTGATGTCCTCCAGCAGCTCGGCGTCCCGCTGCTGCTTGCCCTGCAGGCCCGAGAGCTGCTCGAGGAGGTGGACCCGCACCTCCTGGGTGAGCTTCACCTGCGGGACGGCACCGCTCAGCGCCCGGGGTCGCGGCGGCCCCGGCCGGGCTGGGGATGCGGCCCCGCTACCGGTCCCCACTGCCCCCCACCCCGCGGACCACCGCAGGGGTCGGTGGCCACCATCCCAGCCCCGGGGCGAGTCCGCCGGGGGCGAGTCGCGATCCCCGCTGCAGGTCCCGGCCCTTGTCCCACTCCCCCACTCCCGATCGCTCGGGCCGGTGTCGTCCCCCGCCGCCCCCAGCCCCACGCTCACCTTGCGCGGTGGCGGCGGCTGCATCGCTGCGCTGCGGTCCCCGCTCCCCGGCCCACGCCCCGCGTGTGCGGAGCCCGGAACTGCCGGGACTTGCCCCGCCCAACCCCCGGCGTGACCCCGCCCCCTCCCGGGCGAGCCACACCCACCGATCCCCGCCCCCTCTTAGCAGCAAGCCGCGCCTCGCTTCGGGGAAGCCCCGCCCACCGCGCGCGGCAAGACACGCCCCCCCCCCTCGAGGAGATACCACCGCGCACCGCCTAGCGGTCCGTGCTGCGTGTGTCGCCGGAGCGCTGGGACACGGACACGGACACGGGGACATGGGGAGGCGGGAGGACACGGACACGGGGACACGGGGAGGCAGGAGGACACGGAGACACGGACACGGGGACACGGGGAGGCAGGAGGACACGGGCACGTGGGGAGATGGACATGGGCACATGCAGAGGCAGGAGGACACGGACACAGGGCGGTGGGGAGATGGGGAGCACTGGGGCCCATGTCCTTGGGCAGGGGGACATGGGGAGTGCTGGGGCACAGGGACGCGGGGAATGTTGGGGAGCGGTCCCAGGGTATGGTGACGTATGAGGTGCGGGAGCACTGGTCCTGGAGTGTGGGGGCACGTGGGGCAGTGGGGCCTCAGCCCCCAGCCGCAGGGGCATGTGGGGTCCCACGTCACATGGAGGATGCAGAGCGTGGCAGGACCCTGCCGTGGGGACATGGGCGCAGTGCGGAGCGGTGGCATTCGGTGGGGGACACCTGGAACCACGAGGGCTCCCCAGCCAGCCCTTGTTCCACCCGTCACCTGCTCCTTATGTCCCCCCTCCCATCCCCTTCTCATCCCCCTCCCGTCCCCTTCAGCTCTCACTTATTTTTCTGTCCTGCTTTTTCTCGGCCTGTGATTCCTGCAGAGCTCATGGGTCTCCCCGCTGTCCCCTTTGTCCCCTTCTTGCTCTTTCCCTGACATTTTTGGGTTCAGATGCACACATCCTGGTTCCCCTGATGTGTGTTGATGCGTGAGGCTGGGCTGGCGCTGTGTCGCTGGGGCTGTTATTCCCCTCCATGGCCCCTCTGCTGCAGGAGGGACCAGGAAAATGGACCGGGGACCACCCAGCACCCACTTGGGTGTCAGGAAGGGGATGGCAGAGTGGGACAATGCAGGGCGGCCCCATTTACACCGTGACATTGGCTTGTCAGCCTGATCAAAGCGATTGATCCCTGGAGACATCTGGTCCTGATGGGGGGGGGGGGGGGCAGGCAGGGTGCCCTGTGCCCCCCAGGGTGCTGCAGTGGAGCAGGGCCAAACATCACAGGGCTGGCCACCAGCTGCCTCCTTCCTGCCCCACGCTTGGGGCATGTACAGCCCCACTCGCCCCTCTGCGGTTCACAACTGTCTTCCGATGGCTGCCTGACGTCCGCTTCCTCCATCCCGCAGCGTGCCGTTGCGTGCCAGCGGCTGGAAATCACCCCAGCCTCGATGACGTCCCTCCAGTGCTCGGCGGCGGCGGTGGCAGCTGGTGGTCATCTCCCACTCCCCGCCTCCCGTCTAGCTGCTCGCACTGCAGAGATGTGGGCAGGATTGAGGCGTGACGTGGAGGAAAAAAAGGAAGGGTACCAGCGGGGAGGGGGGCTGGTGCTTGCCCTGCTGTGGTGACGCACGGTGGGGCCAGCCCTGTCTGTGACATTTGTGCAGACCCAGCTTGGGTAGAGGCCACCCCGCCGAGATGTCCCAGCTGGCGCCTTCGCCTGTCTCTGCTGCTGTCTGCATCATCCTCCTGCTCAGCTCTTCCTGGGTCGGCTCGGCCACCCAGTTCTCTCCAAGTAAGTGCCTTGGTGGGTCTGGGGGGTGATGGGGCAGGGGACACCCTGACATCGCCTCCCATGACACTTGGAGGGGATAGCTGCGTGTCCCAGGGGAAGCTCGGGGCACTCCTCTGCTTGTCTTCCCTGGGTGGCCACACTGAAAACCTGAGTGAAGACCTGAAACCCTGCCACCCCTTCCCCCTTTGGCAGCAAAAATCCAGTTACTGCTCTTGTAATCTGAATTTCCCCTGGATGTGGAGAGGTGGAAGAGGTTGCCTGCAGCCTGTTGGAAGTAACTGGGGCCCCCCCGGGACCAGGCGTCCTGGGGACCACCTGGATGGAGCTTTTGAAGCTGGGAAGGAGGGACATGCAGGGGAGCAGAGCCTGGCTGTGGTTTTTTGAGCAAGCTAGAAAAGGGGTTTGATCAGGAGTTGCTTGTCTTGTGCCCCAGCACCTTCCTGTTCTTCACTTTTGTTTTGAGTATGCAGCAAAAAGCCTCTGACCACAGAAAGACGGGGATGCGTGTGCAGCCCTGGCTGTGGCGCAGGGCCGAGCCGGGGCGGGGGGGTGGCTGGGCAGAAGAGGAGGCAGAAGCCCTGGTGAGAGAACATCTCCCATCCTGGCATGGGTGGCTGTATCCCTGTCCTGGCATGGGTTTCCCATCTGCCTTTTCGATCCCGTTGGCTTGCGGGGGACTCGTGCCGGGCTCAGTAGGAAAAGGGATGTCGGCAGAGCTGCGTGTCCCCACAGCGGCTTGCGGGAGCAGAGCCCACCTCTGGCAGCGGGCAGGGCTGGCACTGCTGCGGTGAGTGGCGTGGAGGGTGCAGGATGGGACATGGCTCCCCATGGCCGATGTTAAGGGCTCCCGTGTCCTGAGCTGTCCCTGCCATGGGGGAGGGAGACACGAGCTCCTGTATTTGATGGCAGTTCTGCAGGGAGTGGGAAATGGGAATTGGAGGGGGCTCTTGGCCGAGCCTGATGCCTTGTGTCCTCCGCAGTGCGTAAAAAAGGTCGGGTCCTGATCCCTCTCACTCCCCAAGAAGAAGCCACGTGCCCCAGTGCCTCTGTGGAAGGTTTTCTCAACAGCACCCTCACCACCCGCCTCCTCCCTGCCCTCTACTCCGTGGTCCTGCTCGTGGGGCTGCCGGCCAACGCTCTGGCCTGCTGGGTCCTGGTGACCAACTTCAAGAGATGTTCCAGCAGCGTCTTCCTGCTCAACCTGGCCAGTGCTGACCTGCTCTTTGTCCTCCTGCTGCCTTTCAAGATCTCCTACCACCTCTTGGGCAATCACTGGCTCTTTGGGGAGTACCTGTGTCGCACCATGGTAGCCTTCTTCTACGGGAACATGTATAGCTCCATCCTCTTCTTCACTTGCATCGGCCTGGAGCGCTACATCTCTGTGGTGCACCCTTTTCTGTGGAAGGGCTCCAATCAGATGCGGAGCAAGGTGGGCATCTGTGTGGGCATCTGGCTGGTGGTGGGGCTGGGCATGAGCCCTCTGCTTTTTCACCCCCAGACAAGTCAGATCTCGAGTCTGAACATCACAACATGCCACGATGTTCTAGGGAAGAATGAGCACACGTTCCTCGTCTACTATTTCCTCTCCCTGGTGGGGCTGGGCTTTGGTTTGCCCTTCGTGCTCATGACCATCTCCTACAGCTGCATCCTGGTGCGGCTGCTGGCCAAGGGGAGACGCTATAGGCAGGTGGTGCGTGTCCTGGCCCTGGTCCTCCTGGTCTTCATCCTCTGCTTCACCCCCAGCAACGTGCTGCTCTTCATCCATTACATGCTGGAGCCTACGGGGTGCAACAACATCACCTACATTTTGTACACCCTGGCCCTGGTGCTTGGTGCCTTCAGCAACTGCTTCGATCCTTTCATCTACTTCTACGTCTCTCGGGATTTTCGGAGCTGGGTCCGGGGTGTAGGCAGCTGCTGTCTGCGGGGGCTTGAGATTTCGATGGGGAGAACCTCAGGGAAGGCAGCCTTACCCTTGAGGTCCAGTGACCAGAGCCAGCTCTAGGCCAGGCTAGTGGGTGCCGGGCTGTGTCCCCCTGTCCTGGGGACAGGGGATCCTGCAGCTTGGTGCCCAGCGTGAAGGACTGGTGCCCAGGCTGGCAGCAGATTTGGGCATAAAATCCTGCCCTGGATTTGAGCTTCACTAGGACTTTGCCCTACTTTTGCAGTTTCTCTGATGCCACCGGCGCTGTCCCTCAGACGGGTGCCTGGTCCCGTCACCCCCATCTCCCCGCTTGCTGGACCCTGGCATCCCTCACCACCCCTCCTGCAGAGACCAAACTCTCCAGAGCACAAATAAACCTTTATTTCTCCCTGCTGGTGGAAGGAACAGGTGTAAATACCCTAGCTGAGCAGGAGCCATCCTCCATCGCCGGGACTATGTGCCTGGCACACACGGCCAGCCCTGCTCCTGTTGACCTCCCCACAAAAGATGTCACGGTAGATTCAAGAAGTGGGGGATGGCTTGAGCATCCTGACCCTGCCCTACAGGCCCAGCACTGGAGAGGGGACATCGTGCTGTGTTGCCCCGTGCTGGCAGGCACTGCATGCCCCCCGGCCTGACACCGTGCCCTGCTGCCGAAACGTGCAGGCACCACGCTTCTGCTTTTATTTTCCCTTTTACTTGCTTTCCTAGGCGCCGGGCCCAATGACAGACATGCCACCCATGAGCGAGAGCACGTGTGGCAGCAGCCCCAGACCTCCCAAGATGGGGTTCTGCGGCTCAGCATCCTGGTCCCCACTAGTCCCCTGGTCCCCACTGGTCCCAGCTCCTAGCCCAGCTCTGGGGTCAGGAGGAGGAGGGTGCACGCTCCATGATGTGGGAGCGTGGGGTACCCATCATCGCTGCCACCGGGCGCGACTTGACCCCCAGGTCGGTGGCCACCCCCTCGGCATGGCGGGTCACGTCACCGGCTGGCCCGGCCCCGGTGGCTGGCCCTCGTTCTTCTTGAGGATGACGCTGCTGAGCTCCTCGATGAGTTTGCTGTTGACGGGCGAGGGAGGCTGCACGCTCCTCTTCCTGGGGATCTCCAGGGAGGTCTCTGCACTGGGACTGCTCCCCGGCGTGCCTGCCTGCTCCCAGTCCCTGGCCAGTGCCAGGGAAGGCTCCACATTCCTCTCCAGAGAGGCCGTTTTGGTGGGTCTGAGCCCCTGGGCTGGAGCTTTGTCACTCTCCAGGTTCAAACCCCTTTCGAGGGACAGGGCTTTGGTGACAGAGGGACCTGCCAACCTCTGGGCCGGGCTGGCGGGCAGTGAGGAGCGCAGGGCCGTGGCTGGGGGCTGTTCAGGGAACGGGGCTGGCTTCTTGGACCTGTCCACGGGGGGCACGGCCGACAGGTCTGCCAGCAGCCCCCTCCCCAGCTCCAGCGCAGTCAGCTCGGGGAAGTTGCCCACCTCCTCATAGACAGGATCGGCGTCTGACTCCTTTTCCTGCTGCTCCTCCAGGGAGTCCTGGTGCATCTTCATGGGCTGGGGGAGGGCAAAGGGGTTAGGGTGAGGGGCACTGTCCGCACCACTCAGCTGTACCCCTCTGTCCCCCCTCACCTTGCCCTCCCTGCGCTCAGGTGCTGCCCAGGGACCCTTGCTCCCTCACCATGGGGCTGATGCCCACAGGGTACCCACCCTCCATCAGGTCTCTTGGCTCAGGCACTGTTGCCCTTTCTTCCCCCATCGCTGATAGAGGCTGAGAGTTTTGGTCCCTACTGAGGCAGGATCCATGCCACCAGGCTGTGGCAGCATCCCTTGGCAGAGGCGATCTGGGGTGGGGAGGGCAGATGGGCACCCATACAGAGCAAAAAGCCAGGTGAGGTGAGGTCCAGCCAAGTGGCCTCTGTAGAAATAACCCATTGGCGAGGAGGACCCAAATCTATTTCCTGGCATTTCTTATGTTGATCCCATCTGGGCAACGCGCACCCAACAGGAGAGGCTCTGGGAACTGGGCTGGGCTGTTGTGGTCTTATATGCACGCACTGCGACCATGTGGGGACCCCCATCCCCAGGTGTGGGACACACAGAGCAATGGGCACCCCCTCCTCTGCCCCACAGAGTGGGCAGGATGGCCTGGGCATGTCTCCGAGCGCAGCCGGGATGCTGCAGGCGAGCCCTCGCTGCCGTAGCCAGGAGGCACAGTGCAAAGCCAGCGAGGGGCACGCTCCGCGTGTGAGGGTACTTACAAAGAACATGGACAAAGTCCTTCGTGTGTGCAGGCGGCGCTAGAAACAGAGGAGACGGGCAGAGGTAAGCACGTGGCAGCGTGGAGCAGGGTCGTGGGCGCCTCAGCAGGCAGAGGCGGGGCAGTGGGGTGCAGCACCCCACGTGCCCTCACAGGGCCCTGCACGCATGGAGAGCTGCCACGGACACGAGCACAGCACGCAGCACGCACACACCGTCGAGCGCAGGGACACACACCCAAAGCATCTATCAGTGCCAGGCAGCGTGCACCCGCCTCCGGGACCCGGGGGGCGGGGGGGGGTCCATGGCCTCGGGATGGGTGCATGGACCTGGGTGGGTGCAGGAGCACCCATGGGCAGGGGTAGCTGCGGGGGGGCTTTACCAGGGTCTGGTTGGCAGAGAGCATGGTGGCGTCAGTGCTGTCCCCGTGCAGAGGCACCAGCGGCATGGTGCCGAACTTCTGCTTGGCGAGGTCGGAGGAGGAGCGCCGGCGCATGATCACAGGGCGCAGATCGTCGTGCTGTGCACAAGGACAGGGCAGGGAGGGGCGGGGTGGGGGGGTCATGCCGGGCTGCCTTGCCAGCCCCCCACCCGTCCCAGTCCAGCCTAGCTGGGTGGTACAGCCAGCATGCACCCACCTGAGCCTTGAGGATGCTGGTGGTCCAGTCCCACAGCTCAGCCTGCCCCGAGCACACCAGGTACCTGCAGAGGAGTCAGCTGAGGAGCTGCTAGGGAGCAGGGCCAGTGGGGCTCACGTTCCTTTGTCACCTTCCCTGTAAGCCCAGGGCTGCCAGGTGCAACTACACCCAGTGGGATTGCACCTCTGAAACTCTCTGCATGCCCAAATTGCTGCTTCAGGGCAACGCAAGAGCTTGTTGGGCACCTGGGAGGTCCCTCGGCTCAGCTGTCCTTGCTGCCCTTAGAATAACATCTCAGCCTCATGTCGGGAGCAGGCGATGTGCTCAGCTGCTACCCCAGCATTGGCAGTGTCAGGGAAATAGGGACAGGATCAGCAGGATGCACGGGTGTGCCTGGGCACCCAGAGGTGTCAGGGAGGCCAGGGCAGGGAGCCCAGCTGGGTGCAGGGTGCAGGAGCACCTGGTGCTGGGTGTGTGGGGACACAGAGCAGTGTTGGATGAAGGCTGGCAGGCAGCACAGCCGTGCAGGTGACACTGACGCCTGGTCAGGGTGGGCAGGTCCCTCCGGAGCCTGGTACCTGGAAGATGCATCTCCCAGGGTTGCTGGTGTGGATGGGGAGGTAGGAAGGGTGTGGGGTATGGAGATGGATTGCCCCTGGAGCCTGGTCCCCACTTTGTGCCAGGGAGTGTGTGGCCCCACTGCTCTGTCCCTTGAGTCCCCCAGTCAGGCACCAGCTGTGCCCTGACCCCCACTGCCCCTGGCTGTCCAATTCCCACTAAACCTGGGGACAGATCTCAACATCCTCCCAGCCCCAGGATGGCAAGGGCAGATACTCACAGCTGCTGCTTGTCCAGGGTCAGCGTGAAACCCCACCTGGGGAAAGGAAGAGACAGGCGTTGGGGCATCTCTGCCAAGTTCTGACACAGCCCGGGGCCCGTGGGCAGCAGAGTGAGGGGCTGAGCTTGCCCCACGGGCCCAGACTCGTCACAGCTTTGGGTCGCAGTGGGGCTTGGCATGCTCCCAGTGGCTGGGTCCATGTGCTGGGTGCAGGGTCCGAGGGGCGCATGCTCCAGGGCCACAGCCAGGGAAAGTCACACTTACTGGGCTGGTGGCTTCAGTTTCTTCCTAATGCCCATGTAAACCTTGGCTGCATCCAGGGGCCACTCACGCTCCGGCTTGGCACTCTGGGGAAGCAGAACCATTGGGTCAGCCCAGCTTGGTGCCAGTCTCCCTGCCAGGGTTACAGCCACCACCCGTGCCACTGCTGTCCCCAGGCTCCTCCTCCCCAGCTCCCCTCCTGCCCTTGGGGCACAGGTCCATCCCCACAGCATGCCCTGGATACCCTCTTCTCCTTGAGCAGCAGCAGCCTCCGGTCCCGGATGACGAAGTAGCGCTCTTGAAACTTGTTCCCCAGCAGTTTGGGGGGCTCCTCACGGCATTTCAGCAGCCCACACTTGGGGGTCTCGCGCTTGATGCCTGCTCAGTGGAGGGGAGATGGGAGGGTCATGGGGGCTGGGAGCATGTGGAGGTGGCTGGGGTATTGCAGGGAGATCCCATTGTGGGTCTCAGGGATGTGCCTCTGATGGCTGCAGGGTGGTGGCCAGGGTGAGGGGGAAGATTAGGCGGAGCTGTCCCCTTCTGGGGACACCCCTAGGGGCTGGGACCCTTTGTGATTGCCCTACCTGTGAAGAGACAGCTGCCCTCGCCAATGGGGACCTTCTTTACCAGCAGGTACGCGGTGCTGGGCTCCGGGAGTTTACACCACTGCAAAGCTTGCTCCAGCACCTTTTCCTTGGGGTGCAGGGGCCGCTCTGGGGAGGCAGGGACACTCTCACCTCTGCGTCCCCTTCCCTGTGTCAGTCCCCACCCCACCCCGTCACCATCAGCAAGATGGCCCCGACACCTCCTGCTTCCCAGCCAGGCCACGCCGAGAGCATCCCCTCCCCGTGTCATCCCCATCATGCTCACCCAGCTCCCCATTCTCCAGGGCCTCGAAAGTCAGCCAGATGTCCAGGCTGGCCGCCACATTGCGCATCTCCAGCACCTGGTTGGTGAGCTCCTCCGCTGTCATCGTGGGGGACACCTGGGGCCGGACACATGGGGAGCCGTGGTGGGTGGTGGCAGGATGGGACCGAGGGAAAGGCCGTGCCAGGAGCCCGCATTCCTCCTCCCTTCCTCCGCCACGGCCCTTCTTTTGGGACTCACCTTCAGGGTGACGCAGCAGTCGGGCAGCTTCTGCTCCAGGTAAACCTCGATGATGAGGTCCCCTGCCTGTGAGAGCTGGGGGAAGAGAACGTGGCACTGGTGCGGTGCTGGCATGGGTTCTGTGCACATCCCCTCTCCCCAGGGGCTAATGATGGTGTCCCAGGGGGCTGGGGCTGCTTCTCCCCTGGGCAGGAGCCTCAAGATGATGGGCGAGGGGGAGACAAGTGGGGGGAAGGACCTTCCACAAATATCAGGTGTGGGACAGCGGGGACCCAGGGTGGGCATCTGGGAGTGCCCCCACCCTCCAGGCAGTCC